GTGGGTGGTGGGTGGTGGGTGGTGGCTGGTGGGTGGTGGGTGGTGGGTGGTGGGTTGTGGGTGGTGGTGGTGGGTGGTGAGTGGTGGGGTGGTTGGCGGGTGGGGGGTGGGTGGTACCACCACTGACACGGTCACGACCACCAACTGCCGACATATGTGCCTTTACACTTTACAATGACACCCGAAAGCGCATGAGGCCGCACAAGCTCGGGACCTCTGCAAAGGGCAAGGAGCGGAAGTTTGCATACGAGTGGCAATATTGAGAGACAGTGCTGGTGGCCAGGGCATGCCCTTGAGAGCTGTCGTCCCTGTGTAGCTGTATATCCATCTGTAAGGCAACAGCCACAGCCTGTCATGAAGTCGGATCACCGCTTGCGCAGATTGCCAAGACACCAGACTCGACGCTGGCCAATCCGTTCCAGGATGGTCCGACTCTGATTCATTCCGACGCAGGCTTGGTGAACTTGAGGGTTACTGTCAGCTGCATGAGGTAAATGGCCTGAACCACAGCCCTGTGTGGCCGTGCCATTTCTCGGTTTTTGCCCCTGCAAAACTGTGAACACCTCTGCAGGCCTCGGGGCCGGGGTTGAAGCGTTGCATGGCCAGCTGCCGACCTCCATGATCAAGAACACGGGCGGGGAGCTACATCAAAGGCAATCGAATTTGGTCATAAGGCCAAACACATTGGTGTGTACTCAGTACTGTCTCGCAGTTGCCGCTGCGAGCTGCTGTGTAATGTAATTCCTCAATATTTTCCATGAAAGCGCTGCATGCCCGGCAGTGTGGAGAAATGTACAGGCCAAGCGCATCTGTGAAACACTTGGTTACGTTGATGGTTCACGCTTCATGCTGGATAACACCACTTCATCTTGTGGATAGAGCAGTGTCTTTGTGATTCATCCAGCTATTGACATTCCTAGTCGTCTTCCTTTTATTCTTGTTCTTGTCGGGGGAGCTCAGAAAGAATCAGTTTGGCTACAGCTACGGCAGAAACAGCTAGAAACATTCAAGAAGCCTAGAATACGCGCTTGAACGTAGCGATGGTGAACTGAGGGCAGTGCTTGCTTCTGGCAGCTCGCTGAGTCTCTGCCGAGCCATTCGGTCCAGCCTGGCGCGGCGGCCCGACAAGTCCAAACACGAATTACGTCCCAGAGTCCGCTGCGTCAACAGCAAACACCAACGAAACATCCTGCAATAAGACAGCTGTCCTGACAAAGAGAATCCTGGGGGAAAAAGAAGGGCTCAACTGCTGTCGGTCGCCTCCATGTCTGGCAGAACTCCTCTTCGTCGGTCGGAAAAAAGCGCCCGCTGCGATCCTTGCAGAAGCGAATCTCTGGGGCTAGGGCTTGAAATCTTTTTGGGCAGGCCAGATCCGATCCCGGCTTGTCAAAGCTGAACATCACCTTGCTCATGAAGAAGAGCCCGCCTTGCACTTCGAACGCGCCTCAAAACCTGGGGCTCCTGGCACCCCTACCCGGGCCTACCCCCTGGAGTATGCTCCAATTGCTCTTAGACTAACCCTGTGCAGAGTTCGTCCTTGCTCGCTCGCTTGGGCGACTTCTTCGGTTTTGCCGTGGGCGCCTGGATGCCCTGACAGAGCTGCTGACACCAGCAGCGAGTGCTTCAATGGCATCGAAAGACTTGTCCCTACTAGCAGGCGACGGTCACTACAGAAAAAGCCTCGGGTGCTGAAGTGCTGCTAAAGTACTCATGAAACGTACGCAAACAGACATGGCCGGGGGTGAATGTACGCACATGAAATGGAGGGTTGCGTGGGGGGGGGGTCAGGCACATGCGTGGAGAGAAATGCCCATGCAGAGCGCCTCCATCGTGTGCTTGGTGGTGGCCCTGATGAGCCAGTCGTCGTCTTGCTGCATCAACTCGTACCTGGTGAAGCACTTGCCGGATGTTGCTTAAGGACAGCAAACTCAGCACACAGTACGATTGACGATCGTGGCTGTATGCAGGGCAGAACGTGTCAAGCAACAAACAGAAGGGATTGGAGTTCATTCGAGTTGTCCATGGCCTGCGGAAAGCCTCATGGCAGAAAAAGTCCCCGACGCTCAACGACACGCGAGAGAGAAGCAACTTGCTTCGGCGATTCGGTGTCGTTTCTATCATCCAAGCACTCATCGGCCGATAATAGCAGACACAAGCTCCTGGTACAGCCCATCTCTGTTCCGATGCTGATTCTGGAAGAGCGGACCGCTGCTTCTCGGTGTTCGAAGCATCCACGACCTCCAACACGTCCTGCAAAGGTTGCAACAGAATTGTGGGAAGGGGCACCAAGAGAGCTGTGACTCCACCTCTAATCTATGATGCTGACGCAGTCAGCGCAAGACAGGCAAGCCGGCAAGCCTCTGTCTTTACACCGCCGAAAAGTGGCTCAATCGCCAACAGGTCGGCGAGCGCCACGAAGCCTGCAGACGGAGTGGCTCCCAGGCAGATCTATGACGTCATGACACGTCATACTCCATTTTGCCAGACTTCGAAGTCGGTGGACCAAACATGTCTGGCAACAAGCACATTTCTCAGCATCCTGTTAGCACTGTGTTGGTGCTCCTCCGTCTGTAATGGGAAGATCGAGCTGTTTGGCTCCATGACGTAGGACATACGACCTTAGCTGAATGTGTACTGAGCGGGGTTCGAACGCCGCAAGCCTCTTTTCAGGGAGGCGTCGTGATTGCTCCCTCGTTTTTGAGCTGTGTTTCTGTGATTGGGCAGGGATCGCGGAGTTTTCTTTTCAAAACTCGCTGGGGGCCCAGCAACTTCTTGCTGAGCACGGTGCGGGCATCATCGCTGTCCCTGCAGGCCCAGCCGTCTCGACGTGAAATGTGGTGAAGGACGGCGACCCGGGGCGACTCGGGCTCGGGCCGCACGCGCATCTTCTCCAGCATCTCCGCCAAGACGGCTCCAGACATGGCCTGGCACAGACAGTCGACTTTTTGAGTCGTTCCCCTCCCAGTCATAGTTCAGACGAAGCTGCTGATGGTCTGGACCCGCATAGGAAAAGCTGACGAACTTATCTCGATGAATGGCTCCAAGTGCACCACGTGAGGTCCAGCCGTCCTGTGGCAGGTAGTTGTCATCTAGAGCTGTATCTTCCTGCCGGGATATGCTCTGTTTCTTCTTCAAGTCTTGTGTTGCTGAAGCCCTGGAGTAAGTAAGCCCAACTGCCGTTCCGGAGCTGGACCTATGATTTGCTGAATGCTGCACTTCTCCGGAGATCAGATCAGGATATCCACGTGATCCATTCTAAAATAAGGCCGGCACCAAGCATCACAAGTCGAGAAAGGCGTCACTGAAGCTCATCCATGCACACCAGGCACAACGCCCCCTTCACAGTCTGACAAATGGCTTGAAGAGCGGGTCTGTTGAACTGATGCTTGCTTCTGCTTCTGCTGCTACTCGCACCAGCTTTCAGGATACCATGTAGTTCAACCGAGGGAGCTCGAACATGAATCCATCAGCTGCCTACATGTGTGACCCAGATCAGACTATGCAAACTGATGTTGTCGGGCCATTCCTGTCATTCGTACAGGCTTTGAAAAGGGGCTATGATCAAGCAACTTGACCTTCTGTGTTGAACCTAGTGCTGGCACCGATGGAGCTGTACATGTTCTGCACACCCTACTGTGATGTATGCAGCCGACCATCAGAGGGGCACATACAGCTGCCCGACTACACACGACCTTTTTCGGCTCCATCCCAATTGTGCACGGCTCAAATAAAGACTCCACAGCTTCCGGCTAGGCAACGGCTTGCGTGGTGCAGACCGCGGCATCATCATTCTCATGGTGGTAAGTTATCCGAGCTTTCATGACCTCCTGCAGTTATCATGTCAGCGTAGACATTGCAAAGCTTTCTGGCCATACTGGAGGATGTGTCTCGGTGGCACATAGGAGGTCGGGTGACAATGACCAGCAGCACAAAGCTTGAGAGCTTTGCACGCTTGCCGCTGGGACTAGGGTACAACGGTACAACCAGAACCTGCACAGTAGGAAGCCTGAGTCTCTGAGTGTTGTAGTCTTTCCGATTCTGAGAGCCTATGTACCATTATATTTTCACCATAAGATCAAATTCATGACTCCCACACCAGAAAACCCCTGTTGGCGGCGGCTGCGAGCTCTTCAGCTCTAGGGCCAGGGCTACGTCTGGTATCTGCGACTGCGGAAGGCATTCGGGGGCTTGTCGGGACTTACATCGAGCTGCTCAGGGCAATGAAGATTGGGGGACCAATGCCAGGCAGTCAGAAATGAAACCACGATAGCCTGCATCAGAGCAATGCATTTCGCCTCCCCGCGCTCCTCAGCCAATGCACAAAGTGTTCAGGTGAATCCGGATAAATGCCGATCAATGTGAATTGTGCTCAATGTCCACTTGACAAGTAATGCTGTAACTGACAGGACCGCGAATTCGGTCTCGCTGGTGCTGCAGGACTAGGTGCTCCACATCACCGATCACCCCGGTCGGCGGGGGGACCGCCGCCACCCCCGCCACCGCCGCCACCGCCACCGCCTCTATCCTCAGCATTGTGCTGCTATTCCACGCTCAGTGGAGTTTCGAAAACACCAAAGCGCCATGACATCGCATCGAAGCTGGGCCGGCGCAGGGCCCTGGCATGAAGCGACGCGGTACTTCGGTCAAGGCTCGCGTCTGTCGTCACCACCCCGATCCCGACGATCCCGATCTCGATCGCGATCACGGTCCCGATCGCCTGCAGTTGAGGCCCTCACTGCTGTGCACGGGAAGATTGGAAGAATGGTTGCACACCGGAGCATTGAGAGCTTTGCTTTTAGCTGATCTCCCACATGCTGGGTGAGAAACATGTCATAGCAATCTATCAAAATGTCCACGGTGTCCACAGACTAACGGCAAGACCAGCCGCCTAGCGATGTTTCGTGAAGCCCACGATCCTTTGGCGTATCGTTTGTCGTATCACTAGGCGCCACAATTCACTAACAGATGACGAGAGGCGATCCCGGTCACCGCCGCGGTCACGTCTGTCCCTGGTCAGGGCTCTTTCTCTCCCCACCATACCGGCCACCCATCGTTAGTGAGCGACTGCAACTGGAACGAGGAAGTCTGAGCATTTTCGAAGGCCGTAGCTTTCGGAAGCTGCGAGGAGGAGAAAGCGCTGCCCAGAACGCTTTCCGGCCTGTCATGACGGCCGCCTCGTGCCTCATCCCTTCCGCCCCTCTGACGGCTTCGACTTCGATCCCGCTCCTGACAATGCAGTGAGGGCACAGAATCGATCGGGCGGTGCTTGAAGACATGGTGCAGTGAGGTGGTAGGTGTGTGTGTGTGGGGACCTCGACATAGCACGGGCAAGTGCCAGGCTCCGTTGTTGCAGGGTCAGTGGATTCAGCAGGGATTCGCACAGCATTTCGTGCAGGGGTGGCAACGACCCATCTCTCTACCTTGCCGAACGAGAGATGTGGTGAAAGCAGAATTGTATCTGCAGTGCTGAAATCTGAAAGAAAATCCACAAGGACACAGGTATGCAAAGTGCTCAACTTCAGTCGGTCCTTCATGGACTGGCGGAGCTCTCGCTCGTGCACCTGGATCAAAAAAGCTTCTGTGCTTAGACGCTGGCTGAGACATTTCCACACAGGAAGTGATCATGGCTGCATGTTGCGGAGTTGATGGTCTTGGTCCCTTGGTATTGTCTTGGTGTCTCGAACTCCAGGCTGTTGCTTGGCATGGATGCTGCGCCTTGCTGCCAATAGCAGCTGCGTACTCGGGGTCCTGACATCATTAGATGTCATGTATGGCGTTGGAAAATCGAAGTTCAGTCTCGGTGGGATGAGAGCTGAGATCCCGAATCTGCTGACTCTACTCCGCTCCTTGACGGGCTTCCCCTCGCGGAGGTCCCGGAGCATCATCATGACCAGGGAGGAGGGCTTGTTGGAGCGCTCGAGATGCCTCGCTTCCGCATTGGTTGAGAAATACCACTTACGAGCCCGGATCGGGGCAGTCTTTACGAACCTGTCTCAGCTCCTGTTGCGAAAATCTCCAAAAACCTTCCAGGCCCCCAAGTTTCCCTATTGTACACCCAAAAGCTGTGCCAAGCACCGTTCCAGTGGGCACAAAAACCTTTGGATGGAGATCTGGGGCTGCGGCTTTGCAAGTTTCATCAGGTCCCCATCCACATCGTCACGGTTTTCCATCACCTACATCGATCATTTCCGGGCTGAAGCTGAAGCATTTAAGCTCTTATCAGTTTTCTTTGCTGCTTACTTGCGCCGACGGTGTGCCGACTTCTCAGATCCACTGAACACCCTCTTATCCTGGCACCTCCGCCAGCTTTACAGCAGCCTGTGCGTCCAGGCGATTTCTCTTGGCGAAGTCTTGGATCTGGCAGACACATGCCGAGAGACGCTGATTCAACATGAACATGAAGTTGCAGGAACGACTGCCGGTAGATACACTGCGGGACGGGTCCTTCTTGTTCAATGCCGTCATGCCCTTGAAAGTCCCCATTCGCATGTCTTTCAGCTTCATCATCAGCATTCCTGTTGCGATCTCGGACTGACACCAGCACTGTCACTCGACAAATCTTCTCTCCATGCACAGCCACCAAGACAATCACTCCTGATGGGTTTTTGGATCCTTCCAAGCCAACCCAAAGAGCTTGCAGATCCGATTCAAACCTCAGGTGATCTCGAGAAACGGTCGATCTCGCATGAGAGCTACTAGTTACTCTGGGGCTGACCAGGTGCCGACGGGCCACGAATCTTTTCGCTTTTTCATTTCTTCGTCGAGGGCGCGTGTTGCACGATCATCTGAGGCGGATGTCGGGAAATGATGTTCATCATACACTACATGTACTGTCACCATGATCGGCGGAAGTTCATGGTTCGCGGGGCCTAGCCCGTGGTACTCCGCAAGCTCTGCCACCTGTGGATCGATCCCGGCACTTTTGATTTGCTCGTACTCGGAGGCCACCTGTTGGAACCTGCAAACATGTGAAGTTGTTCACTGGGAGCCTCTGATGGCCTGTGTGTGCCTCATCTGCGCCAAGGATTCAGAATCCAAGTTCGGGGGCGGCGGCATGCCGGGAAAGGGCAGCTTCGGCAGTGCGGGTGGTGGACCGATTCCAGGTGGGAGCTGAAGTCCCCCAAGGCCCATCCCCGGAGGTGGCGGCGGCAGAGCGGAGCCGCCCGGGAGGCCCGGAGCCTTTGGCGGAGCCGGCACTCCTGCCACAAAAAAAGCAGAAAAAACACTTTCCCTCTTTTCTGAGACTCCCTTCCCTGCCCCGCCCCTTTACCCCTGCCTGGAGGGAGTTGGAGACCTGGCGGGAGCTGCAGACCTCCTGGCGGCCCTGGAAATCCGAGGGCTTTCGGATCCGCGAGGCCTGCTAGGCCTGGGGGCACTGGGAAGGGGAGGCCCGGACCACCTGGTGGTCCGCCAGGTGGCAAGCCGGGAAAGTTCGGGAAGCTTGGAGCACCCGGAGGCCCACCTGGAGGTGCTCCGCCGCCGGGCGGTGGGCCTCCGGGCAATGGCGCCGTTGGGGCTCCTCCAGGTGGCAGTGGAAAACCGAGCGCTGCGGGATCCAGGGCTCCTCTCAAACGACATGCCGCAAGCCACTCTCCGACGCATGCACAAAGGCCGAGTTTGCACTGCGCTGTTCTGGCTCCTGCCGGCATGCTGGGGAATGCATCATCTCCTCCAGCCCCTCCTTCCTTAGCACAGTCCCGACGGAGAAAGGACAGACGCTCTCAATCAGACACTACGTGACGAAGAGGAGTCACAGTTTCATCGGAAAGGCTACCATGCTACAACCACGCTACGGCTTCCTATCTTCCGATTGCTTCTACCCCTTAACGGTCCGAACGGTTGACTTGCCGGCCATGACGAGCTCGTACGAGAGCGATGGGATGTGGGGCAGAGGATTGCTTCAGCCGAGAGTCCCCTCCGCGCTTTCGGCCCATGGTGCCCAAGAGCCAACGGCAGGTGGGGCGGAATCAAAACTTCTGCCTGCTTCCTGGCAGAAAGTGCACTCGATGAATGCCAGAGAGACAGAACGGTTGAACAGGTGCACTCTTGCCTTCACCAGGCGTTTACCACAGCCGCCGACCCAGGCACCGCAATAATTGGTTTGTGTAAGCAGTGGGTGGATTTGATGACTGACTGGAGCTCTTGCTAACAGTGTCGTGCTCTTCGTATTAGACACTGAATTTTTCAGCTGAAGAACTGGTTGCCTGGGAAACCTTCCGCTCAAGCATTCTTTGAGCCCGACTTCGACAGGGAAGTTGCGAATGGAGGCACCCGGAGCATCCTGAGCCCTCTCTGCTGCCAGAAATCGGTCTTCTTCCCAGCACTGCAGCCATGGCTTCTCTTTTTGAGTAGATGCGATCTCTGAATCCATCAAGAGGAACCGCGCGACAAAGAACAGAATGAACGACAGAAGTTCGTCATGCCGCGAACTGGTATAGCATACAGGCAACAAGGCTTCAAGGCCTAAGCTGCGCCAGATTCTGTTCCAAGCACGGCATGCTGCACTAACACTGCCCGCGCAGCAGAACGGGCCGCAGAGCTTGAGCTCCTGTGCCCATTGCAAAGACGTAAGTTGGGGCTTGTCTGCCTTTGCATTCTCTGCGTCCCGTTTCTGCAGCCAAGCATGGGACTTCTAGAAATTTCGTTGGCACTCCATGCGTGACCTTAGGCAGCAGACTCGCGAGGCCCCCGTGCCTCGGCCATTTTCTAGGGCTCTGACGAGTTGATCGCGCACCAAAATATGCCTTCCCGGGTTCTCGCTTTCTGTGAAAATGGAAGCAAGGATTGGACTGCTGCTGTCGAGTCAAGTGACCAACACACTTCCGAGTCAGCACTGGCGACGCCAGCGTTGCGACCATTGCCTTCAAACAACACAGGTCTGGCATCAAACTCGACCTTTCAAGTCTTATGCTGAAACTGCTAGGCAACGAAGCAGGCCAAGCTCCTGGAAGCTCCAAGTCCCTGGCTAGGGCCGACAAGCCCGCTGCCAGCGCAGGCAGCTCCAACTCCTCAGTCAAGATGCTTTGTTGCAAGCGGCTCTCTAGTGCGACACTTGTGTTGTGGATGCCTAATTATGGTTTCGCCAGCCACGACATCGGCATCGGGTTTCCGGTTCAGGCAATGGGAATGAATGCCCAGTCTTGCTCGCACCATCCCCGGAACGACGACGAAATTTTCCTGAACTGGAGAAGAACATAACAGCGACGACCATCATCATGTCTGAGGTTCACATACCTGCACGGCCATACTCTCGTTGCACAACATAACATGGAACCATCACAGAGTGAACACAGCCCAAGCTGGAATGCGTGGTGCTCATGCCTTCCTCCGCACTGTCTTTTGCATGAGTCGAGAGCTCAGCCCGCACCTCATCGAGCAGTCGTACTACAGCTCTGGCATGGCAGAGCCGGAGGCTTTCTGCTTCCGGGTAAGGCTTCCTCCAAAGTGCGAAGAAGGATGTCCTGGTGACCCTGGTGAGCTCGTGGTGCCAGGCCCCGAAGAGAGACTGCAGGTGCTCGAGCAGTCTTCGTCGGGTCCATCTCTGGAACTGAGGTTCTGCTGCCAAGACTTGCAGCATCTTCTCCAGCCCGTCGTCAGCACGAAGGCATGCTGACCTTCCAGGTCCAAACAACTCCAAGCGCTTTCCAGCTGAAGCCTCCGTAAGTGCAAGTGGCACGACGATCTCCGCAGAACACTCGGGCAGAAATCTAAACGCGAAGAGAAACTGCTCTGCACTGTGGCTACCGTAAGAAATCATCACCTCCTGCCCCCCTTCGATGTCTTGCACGGAAACAAGCTTGACAGACGTTGTGGTACCAACGATGCAGGCATTTGGTTCTGTACTGTGGTTTAAAAAGTCGAACATGGGAATAATGCACTGCACCTCTTCCTCCGAGCATTCCACAGGTAATGTACCAGACCGTGTTGAAACGATCGCCTGACACCAAAGCCATCGGTGCCATGAGAATGGAATCCAGCCATGATTTGCTCGAAGTGCTTCCAGGGCCTGCCACTCTTCTCTCAAACTTTGCAAAAGAAGCTCTGCCTGCCTTTGCACGGGAGTCCCAAGCAAAGCGTCGTGGCTCTGCTGTGCAAGTACTACGGGGAGACAGCCTGCTCCGGCACTGTCCTCCTCCGGAAGTTGGCTGAGCCACGGCCACCAGGGCGACATTGCATCTTCTGCATGGCGCAGGAGCCAAAGTCGAACAGCGTGACTACCGTCTGTCCAAGCCAAGTCCTCAAGCAGAGCCTGCACATCAGCATCCTCTTGGGCCAGTTTGTGGCTGATGATCAAAGTCCAGGGAATCTCCGCCAAGGTTCGTCCACAGGGGACGGCGTGAGAGACAACAACACCATGGCCGCGACCAGGGATCCTCTGCACGTCCAGCTGTTCAAGCCAGAAACCACCCTTCTCCCGTAGCCAGCCCTTGAAAGGATTCTTGCCTTGTTGGCTGCATGCAACTTTCTCAGACGGAGGGGAAAGGGGACAGAAATTCAAAGCCACGAGACCAAAGGCGGGCTGCAAAGCCTTCCAGCCGAAGCGGATGCCTTGCATCTGAAGAGCCCTCCATGCAAGCCAAAGGCCCAAGCAAGGACTTGAACAGACTTTGTCGCGGTTCACATACATGCACTTGGCTCTTCGGTAGCATCACATTTGCAGCCAAGCAAGACTTAGGTCATAGCTGGAGAAATCGAAACGACGACGGCCACCAGCAGGTATGCAAAGCACGCACCCAAGCCTGATCATGCAGTCTGGTGCAAGGCCGAATCGCCGCTCTTCTCTCAGTGCGCGGCTGGTCGAGAGGATAGCACTCACTTCCCGACCTTTGCGAACAGCAGATGTACATGTACACGCGCATGTATGTACACACACGCACGCAGGCACGTACTTACGCACGATATGTATGGGTGCGTGTTTGTTCCTGCAAAAGCATGTGTTCCTGCTTATGTAACGATAGAAGGAGCGGACAGGGAGAGAGAGAGAGAGAGCGACAGTGAGTGACTGAGTGAGTGAGTGAGTGAGTGAGTGAGTGAGTGAGTGGGTGGGTGAGTGGGTGAGTGGGTGAGTGGGTGAGTGGGTGAGTGGGTGAGTGGGTGAGTGGGTGAGTGGGTGAGCCGAAGGCTCGACAGCCACAGCGGAAACATTCTGTGGTGGTTCATTCTTGGCGGTGTCCTCAGAGACATTAGCTGAGCTCGTCTCCAGTCGTCATCGAACCATGACAAGTCACCGGACCAATCATCAACAGAACCAATCCACTCAGATTTCCAACCCGATTCATCCCATGTCCAATCGTCATAGTGCCATTCATTTGCTCCAGTGGTTTGGGTCACCACACAAGAAACATCCTTGGCCTTTGCTTTTTCCTTTCATTCCTCTCATGCCTTTTCCTTTTCCGTTGTATCCTTCCTTTCCTCTGCCCTTTCCTTTGTATGAAAACTTTCCTTTTCCTTTGAATCCTTTTCCTTTGCCTTTGTACACTCCTTTTCCACCTTTCATTCCTTTCCTTTCCACCCTTTCTTTCCTCTCAACGCACCTACATCCATGTCGGCTTGGCCTTGGGTGGTCAGTCCTTCCACTCGGCACAGTCAGATGCCTGCTCTTGATGTAACTGTAAGCAATCTCCAGCGTGTTGATGCAAACGCAAGTGCTGCTGCAATGGACCCACAGTCTTCTGCATTAACAACGTGATCAACAGGTCTTTGTTCAACGGTCTTCCAGTCGTTTTCTCATGCATATTCTTCAGGATCATGAACTCACCCAGATCACTCTCCAAGTAGTCATTTCTCAATCGGAAACCAATGATCTCATTCAACGAATTCGTCGCTCTCGCTCTTTCTGGCAGTGAGAACTGCTTGTGCAATTTGCACCAACAATCTCCAATCCATTGTCTGTGTCCTCATCGCTCACAATCGCGCGCGCGGCGCCATCAGTGATCTGGGCCAACATGTAAGCCAGTTGTCGTGAGAACCGTGACAGCTGGTTGTGTTGGCTCCGAGTCTGTTGAACATCAAACGCTTCACACGAATCGTCATTAATCACTCGATTCGACCCTTCAATATCGTCCATTAGATGTTTCGCAACCGGTTTGTACAATCGAACATATCGCTTCAGTTGCCATGACCAATCTTCCGATTTCTCCAACTCACCGTGGCAGCTTGGAGGAGGGAACAGTTTGATTTAATCCCTCTTGTTCCGAAGTCGTTCCGAAGTCCATTCTCTTTCACTCTTTCCCTGTCTCCAGAGCCAATGCTCCAATACCATGCAAAATTCCACCATACAATCCACACAGTAGTGACTAACCGAGATCAGTGTATTCCCCAATCAACAACACGGTCAGGCAAGCATTCCTGTATGCGACCAAGCCAATCCTATCCAGTCTTGAGCCAAATGCCATTGGGAGTTGTAGCATTCGTGAAGGCATCATGATCATTCTAGAGCATTCTAGGGAGGTGTCATTCAACAGAGTGAGTGAGTGAGTGAGTGAGTGAGTGAGTGAGTGAGTGAGTGAGTGAGTGAGTGAGCGGGCGAGCGAGTGAATGAGTGAGTGTGAGACAGACAGACAGACAAGCAGACAGCCAGCCAGCCAGCCAGCCAGGCAGGCAGGCAGGCAGGCAGGCAGACAGACAGACAGAGAGAGCGAGAGAGGGGCAAAGAGAGAGAGAGAGAGAGAGAGAGAGAGAGAGAGAGCGAGAGCGACCGAGAGAGGGTGTCCACCTCTGCACCTTTCTAGTTGCGATACTTCCAAAAGCAATCCTGCGAGAAGCCGGCGCAGCGTCGTCTCTGGGTCCGAGAAGAGCCGTGAAAGAGGAGGCCTCGGGCTGGCGACGGTTGGCTTGCACAATCCTGGGGTCCGAGGGGGATGGCCGGGATGGGATTGGATGGTCTTTTGCTGTGAGGCGACGATGGCTGCTGGCTTCGCCTGCGGACCCGTTGACCCCTTGCTGCCCTACTTTGCCTGCGCTTGTTGGTGCGTGTGTGCGTGTGTGTGCGCCTTACTAGCTGTGGCGGACCTGATTTCGGCTTGATTTTGAAGGCTTGGGTGACGGTGCGTGCTCGCCTCTTGTCTGAGGTCAACTGAGGTGACACTGACAAGGCACGTGCATGGCATGGACCAGCCATTCGGCCCCCCCCGCGCGTGCACAGACAGGCTGCATGTGACTTGCACGCCTGACCTTTTCACGTCACTTACCCTGCAAACAGCACCCGGAAGCCTGCTCCGGAAACTTGGAGCAGCACCCATCCTCGTTGAGCTCTGAGAGCTTCAAGTCCTGTGCCGGCTAGGCACACATTTCAGAACGACTTGCCTTGCGTTCTCCTCAAAGCAATGATCCTTTGCGTGGGCTTTGCCTCTCATCCCTTCTTACGCCCCACCTCGTAAGCGATGCCTTGGAAGAGCTCATTCCTGCAGGGTATATCTCTGCTTCAGTCAGGGTCAGAGCGATGGTTCCCCACTGGAGGCTCAACAAGTGCAAGGAGTTGCTCCATACTGCAGGTTTCATCAAGCCACACTTTGTGTCAACTTCAGAGACATGGCAAGCATCATGCTAGAGACTCGTTCTCGGCATCCCCCTGTGCCACGCAGCAATCCAATACCGCAGCGCTGAAGCATGGACGTCGCTGGGGAGCACGCAGGCTCGGTGTCTTCACGGCGGCGAACTTGCGCGTTTCCATGTCCAGTACAAAGGCCCAGGCCTCTACAAAAGTGCCAAAACACGGAGCGACATTCGAAGGTCAAAAGATGAGCTGGCTTGGCTCGGCTTCTTTCTCTCACGCTCCCGGGTCCCGCCCGGGCCTTGGAGGCCTCCGCCCAAACGGCAGGAAAGCTGGGCCCTGGCGCAGCGGGGCTCCAGGGAAAGCCTCGGCAACAGGCGACGGGCCCTGGTCGCTGGAGACTCGAACCTCAGAGTCGTACGCGACCCACTTGAGGCAACGCGCACTGGCTGGATTCGGAAGGGCTCCTGCACCCCAGACGGTGTGGTTCCAGACCGTCGTTCAGCAAGTTCTTAACTTGGGCCAAGCCAAAGTAAAGGCTCCACGGCATATCCTCAGCGTCCTCCCCAGCGTTTCGGATCTCTTGCACCTGCCACTGGCTTCCACACGATACAGACAGCTGGGCTGAAACCAAGAAAAAAGCCCGCCATGCCATCTACCTGTACCTGCGCTGCTCAAGTGCTGCTGGCCTCCTGGTAGTAGGCCTTCTGCCTGGGTGGAATCCTACTTTCCTCGCTCGAAGTAAAGACCCCATACCTTGGCGTAGGACTCGACTCGACTCCCTTGTGACATGTAAGTCCCGAGCGAGGACTCAAGTTCTCGAAGGGCTTTGGCCTTGGTCATGTCTGATGCACTCTGCAGGTGGGAAGTGTGCATATCCGCTGGCCGAAGCCGATATCAATGTTTGTTATTTTGCGTATTGGTGAAGTGGCGGTCTGTGGTGCCGAGGACTGAGTGGTCACAGCAGCCGTGGTCTTAGCCATTTCTTGTTTGTGACTGTGTTGAGTTTGGCAGTAATCTTCCTAAAACACCGTGGCAACACTATGGGGTTCCAACCATTGGAATTGGTATCCAATGCTCAGAGTAGACGGATCGGCTTAGATTACTGAGGTACTGTCCCTGCGAGTCAAAGCGCATTCTTTGCACAGTCCCCTGCCGGCTCCTCTGGGCCGAAATGGTGCCAACCGTGCTCCCGCAACAGCAGATGTCTTGGACTCATGGGGTGGTCTTGGGAGCCGGCTCTAGGGATTTCATGGGCTTGGGAGTAGGTACTCTTTCGCTGCTTGGGGGTCGGAGCCTGCCCAGCAGAGTGCCTCGCGAACAGTACTTCGCATGACATGCAATTTGCTGCAATCGTGCGCAGGCAGCATCCTGGAGCTCGGAGCAAGGGCTTTCACCTAAGCTTTGTGTGCTGTCAAGCTGCGGTCTGTTCCGCATTCCTGTCCACCAGGATCAAGCAGTACCTCTGCGGATCTCTGCTGAAACATCTCGACCCTAGAGTTGTTCTGCCTCGACAACTTACTGTACCAAATTCATCACGCAAACGTGTCGGTCGGATATTTGACTCCTCAGCGAGCTCAAGGCTTACTGCACGAGACTGCGGTATCCTCCATCGGCTCATACCATGGCATCTCACACCAAAGTTCCAGAACACACGGGTTGATAAACACCCATCCATTTCAGTGTGCATCCTGTCTGAGAAAGTCGCGTTCTGCTCGTGCTTTGACTGAGCGCTCTGTCGCCGCAGAGCTGTTGAAAGTTGCCTGGGCACACTGTCGGCGCTGCCGGCATTCGCTCCCTGCTGTAAGTGTGTCCTGCAACACCGACTTTATCCGTCATCAGACTGCGTAGCCGCTACTAAGCCGCTACTCACCGCTTTCTGCCAATGCTGTGATTCTTTTTTCATGGCTGTGGCGACCTTTCGCGCTAGCCACGGGCACGACCTCCTCGAGAGAGTCGTGCTGGCCGTGACACGGGCAGCTGGCGGCTGGGGCAGCGGCGCTCTGTCGCGACAGGTGCTTGTCGGGGGATCTGCTCAGAGATAAAGTCCTAGTGATGATGCAGCATTCAAGGGTTCATAGATCGCCCATAGATTTCCGCAGATGCCTGAAGAACATGGCAGCTCTACTTTATACCTCACTGCATGGGTCCTGGATGAGGGGTGCCATGTCCCTCACATTTCGGACCTGGGTCCTGCTAACGTCACCTTGCAGGCTGCGCTTCTCGGGTTCGCTCATAAAAATACACCAAAAACCCGAGCCTAACCCACCGTTTTACACAGCTCGCTGCTCTGTGGCTTCAGGGCTTGCTGGCGAGGAAAACTCCGTCCCAGCTCCCCGTCTTACTCAGCTTTCGCAAAGCAGACGACCTTAGAGGATCCTCCTAGCGCATCCTATGCCAGTGACTGTCAGCATGGCGATGCATGGCGTGCCTCCGCTGTGCAACATCAACGCCCATGTCTGACCTGCAGCAAAGCTTTCCTCGGCCCCTGGCTTACCTAGTAGTTCTGTCTGGTACCAAGACTTCACTGAAAGAGAAAAGCAATGCGACGGATCTGAGGAAACACCGCGTGAGTGTACTTGCTGTATCTTGCTGTGCTCGGCTCTCGGAGCCCGGCCCCGCTCAAGCTTGTACTCGGAGCCGAGGGTCTGTCAAGCTTGACAGAGTATGCAGAGTCGTTGACAGAGTATGCAGAGTCGTTGAGTCGTTAAGTCTTCCTGGATCCCGTCGAAGGTCTCCGAAAAACGTCAAGCTTGAGGCTCTGGTTCAAGTTTTGGGTGCTCTGATTAGAGGGGTACGACGGGTACGACAGGTCGCCGTGACAACGGATCCTAGCCCACATCTCTGCATGACTCGCAGAGGAGCACTGCACTCATCGCTGGACTGCGGGAGCCTCTGCAACGAGTTTGGCATCGGCCGATGCAAAACTAAAGAACTCCGCCCAAACGTGCGCCAATCGCAGCACCTGTGGCGGCAAGTCAGGCAGCGGCAGAGAAGGTCAAGGCCCAAAGGGATTCTCGCTCAGGCCCGGCACCGGCATGAAGTCCACGGCCTTCGCCGCCCTGCTGCTCGAGGAGGGGCCCACCACCAGTATCCGTGGCCTGCCAAGAAGACAGCAACATGGCGAGGTTTCTGACTCGGGCTTTGCCTTTGTAAGTCGACCGACCAAGCTATGCAGAGGTGAAATGCGCCAAAGGACTCCGAGCCCCTGGCTCGTCCGAGGTCCACCAATTCTTCAGGTCCGCTGCGGCTTCGTGACGCTGGAACTGGCGGGGCACCGGATGCCCGTAGCCGCGAGAATGCCAGTACGCAGAACTTGGCCTCGGGAAAGGTGCTGTCCATGAAGTTAGTGAGTCCTTTGCCACCACCAGCACCTTCCTGCCAAGAACCGCATGCTGCACGAGTTTACATCCGTTTGGGTGTGGCCTCGTCCCGTCCATACCTGTCTGAGTACATCCAGTGCTCCACGGACATGCCGCGAGCATATCTGAACACCTTTGACAAGGCATGCAATGAACCGACAAGTCCCAATTTCCGCTAACCACACAAGCGGAACTGAGTCGTTCTCCACAGGCAGCAGCACCGGCTTGAACGGCAGCAGGGACTGCAGAATCCACGGGATACTCAAATCTCGAAGGCGAAGCACTCTCACATCTTCAAGGTTGCCGGACATCTCTGCCAGAGTCTCTCCTTCCTCCGGAACATGCCCAGAATGCAGCTCTTTATTACGCCAAAGAACCGACACCCTGGCCCTTGATGAGCGTTTAGGGTGAGACGGGCTACTGCACCTGTGGGGCAGACTATGTACAAGCACGCAAGTCGCTCGGTGGTCCTCACCGTGCTAACTCATGCGCGGAAGTGGCTGCACAAATTTGAGCCAACCGCTGCGCACCAAGAAGTCGGAAAGCTCTTCGTAGTCCTCCACCAACTCCTGGTCAATTCCCAGGACGCCAAACAGTTAACGGCTGGAGAGCGATATCCGAAACCATGAGTCGTGCGAGTTTTGTGTGAATGTCATCTCTCATCCCTGGGCTTGGCATCGATCTCTCTCACACCTCCACGCAGCGAGTCGGCGGAAGAAAAGAGCAAAGCAGAGATGTCCTCCGCACAGCAGCGAGGAAGGGCTGCATCTTGCAGACTGCCTAGCTGCGAAAGTCTGGCGGCACGCGCAAGCTTGCAGACTTCGACTTTGCTGTGATTCCTAAGAAACGCGCCCGATGCGACAGCCATGAGCCATCGGATCTTGACAACCTCCCAGGACAGCTTCAAGATTAGACAAAAAAGCGACGCGAAGCACTATGCATCCAGGAAGCTCTTGCAAGCTTGCCCAAGGCATTCCAGGGCTCTCCACGTTCATATGCCAGCCGCGAGTCGCCTGACTCGAATCACTCCTTCGAGTCTCTTTCGCGCAACTCGCAGCATTCCGGCCTACCACAGCACCTTCCCAATCAATGAGGGCATCGAACTTCCACTGCCCGCTGCTATCAGGCGAGCAGAGGACATTGCCGTCATTCAAATCCTATCAAGCCAAGTCAAGCCCATGCAATGACAAGCAGTGACAAGCACGCAGGCTTGCGGAAGCTGACTCTTGACCTGGTGGATGAGCGTGGGCGGTATTGGCGTGATGCCTTCGCAGCTATAGCTCCGTTCTGTCTATCACTATGGCTGTTCAACGTGGCCTGCTGTGCGCAGGCTGCGATCCATGTTCAGCAAAGCTTCAACCAGATCCGGTGCCTGGCAGGCAGTCAGAGCTAGTCAGGGCACACCGTGTCCACAAGCGTTCAACCTGGATCTGTTCTGCGAGTTGGCGCAGGTAGGCTGTGAACTCGAAGCAATCCTGCCAGGTGAGCAACTGACCAGAGGCGCATGTAGGCTTCAGATGGCTTCAGCAGAGAGCGTTTTGAAGCACGACGGCACCTCAAAACGGGGCAACGGCTCGGTGTTGACGCCTGCTAGGCTAAGGCATTTGAGCTTCTCCTGCACGTCCTGCTGCAGAGATCGTGTGCCTCCAAGCACCAGAAACAGCAGACTCGCTGAGGTTTCAACGGATATGGCCAGCCGCAAGTCCTGCAGAGGGGCTGCATTTGGGTACTCAGCGCGGGTGTTGTGATGCAAAAGCAGTATATACATCAAATGACGCCCTCTTCGGAAAGTCAGCTGCTCCCGCCTTGCCGGGTGCAACCCGCTCATCCTGGGCTTCGGAAAAGCATTTTATCAGTCTGGCACCGGAGCTGTCCAGGATGGATGCTAGACTTGATGACAGAAAAAGCACCCATAAGGGGTTCTAGACGCTTGCAGCTTGACGGAGTTCGTGCAAGGCAGCGCTCCTCCACGGTGGCTGTGTTCACAAACTCGTAGACAAGGAAAGGTACGTCGGAAAGCGGCCCCCAGGACTCCACCTCCCGCAAAGCGGGGAGAAACTGCCGGGCTGGAGGCCGTCAGAGACCCGAAAAGGCGACTGTGAAGTCTCTGCAAGTGTTCCGGCGTTCCGGCCTTTCCACTGGCCAGGATCTGCGGCACGCGGATGCCAGCGTCCTAGCAGGTCCTAGCACTTGTAGCTCTCGCCGCGCGCTCTGCCGTCCAGTCTGGCCTGGGCCAGCGCAGTTGCTCGGACAATGGACTCCGCACTGATCGGCTTCTGCAAGTGGAAGAGCCTCAGCGAGGCCAGTGCTGAATGAAAGCACCAGCACCGTCATCCCTGCCGTCATCATTGTCGCCAGCATCGTCCCGACCAGCATCACGATCACCATCCCAATCGCTATCACCCACATCGCATGATGATGTTTCTGAAAGTGCTGTTATCACAAGCACATTTACACTATTGGTGCTGACAGATAACGATACATCACCCAACTGCCAGAGACCACCCCTGGGCTCCTGTCTTTAGATGCAGTGGCGCGCGGGCTCTCTCTGTGAGCGAGACTCTTTGTCCCCCAGCTCGGATCCAATCATCTGAAGGACCGCGCGTCCCTGGAGCCGTCGCTCGAAGTCTGCCGCGAGTCCGCTATCAACATGGCGGGTAGTCAGGATCGCTAGAGACCTCTGCGCCCGAAGGAAGTGGCCCGGCGAAGTCCAGGAAGTAAGTAGCATGAAAGCTTACCTGGCAGGCACAGTCCCGCGATTTTGCAGATCCCCAGCAATCCATGCAGTTTACAGGCTTTTGAAGTGCAGCTCGCGGTCTAGAGTCTGGGCTTAAGGCCTTGTGCTTCGTGCAGCGGCGGATCTCTGGGTACCCCATGGAAAGCAGAATTGCCTGGAAGCAGGCGACGAGAGACATCGTTAAACTTGATTGGGGGGGCCCAACGGCCTAACTCATCAATCAACACAATCGGTTTAGGTTCTGGAGCACCCGCTGGAATTTCAATCAAGACGTTGAATCATGCTGCCAGTTGTGGACCGCTTTGGTACTGTGGGCCAGGTTGCTTCAACTTCCGGTGGCACAGCACACGCTGGCATCGCCTGAGCAACACGTCTGGATTCCATGCACTGCACCTTCAGCACCTTTGCACATGGAAGTCCAGACTTTGCTCATCACCTGCTTTCGGGGCAAGGTTGAGCCCGGGGCGGGGCGGGAATCTAGGGATTGAAGACAACTTCAACCGCATTGGGCCTTGAGGTCACTTTTAGAGGACTTAGCTTCTTGCCAAGACCCGGTCCAACCTCCAGAAGCTCCGGCACGTTGAGGACATCACGGCCGGAAGCCATTGCGTTGAATTTGGCCGTTCAAATTTACATGGTTGCGTTGAGGTGGTGAATAACTATTACTACTTTACTGTGGCACCGGTGTTTTTTCTACCGCCATTTCGTTTGCCGGCTGATCGTGAGATGCGTCGTCGACGATGATTTGCATGTGCGCAAGGCCTCAACAGAAGCTGCCTGAGCTGATTTGCATGTGCGCAAGGCCTCAACAGAAGCTGCCTGAGCAAAACCCAGATGTGGATTGAATGGCAGGCGTTGGGACTGCGCAGCTGCAGGTACTTCTCGGGAAGCTGTGAAACCCGTGCCTTCAGCTCCTTCTTCGTGACGTCCAAGCGGCCAAATCGCGCATGGTCGCCGTAAGAGTGTGCCACATCCTGCATCCCGTAAAGAAAGTGCCCAAAGAAGCACATCAACTAAATGTCTAAGCCCCAACAGCAAATTTTGTCGAAGAGTGGCTACGCGGCACAACCTTCGCCTGCTTTGGCCGGCACGCATCCCCACAACCATTGAGCGGAAAGACTTTTATGCGGACCTGCTCGCATCTATAAAGATACAGTTCGCCAGATCGACGTCCTAGAGGCACACGAACCCCACTTAAACCTTGCCTCCCTGGCCCGTGTTGCGTCTGAATTGAAATTACAAACGACAACCTCAATTTCAGCACGGTCCTCCCATCCGGTTGCGAAGGACTTGCAGGTGCCATCGTTAGGATCGTAAGCTTGGACGAACCAAACTTCGTTTGACCTGACAACCCGGAGGCAGACTCGGCTGCGCTCGCAACTCTCGCCCCACTTCCCCCCACCTCGCCCCAGACTGCCTTCCTCCACTTGCCACTTGCCTGCCTCCTTGTTTGGTCCTGAAGTAACCTGCCCTATGGACTCACTCGCCCACTCCACTTCCGCCATCTGAAGGTTTTGGCTTGCCAGAGGCAGAGGAAGCGTTGGGGCAACTGGGGAACCGCAATCCTCGTGCAAGTGCTAACATGGCGTTGTAAGTGCGATCTCAGAACAGTAGTTCCACCCGAAGCTTCGTTAAGCTGAGATCAACGCCTCAGCGCCTGCGTCTCGAAGTCCTCGAGAGACAGCTCGACGGACCTCACCACAGAGAGCGACCAACAGCCTGAAAGTGGCTAGATTAGCAGGGGTCATGCTGCCACGGCGTGCACGTCAAGTCCAACCCAACTCTCAAAAGAGCTGCTGGCCCTTCTTGATTTTGGAGTTGTGAGAAGCATGGCATATGGCGGCAAGCCCCTCCTGCGATCAATTGCGATCACCACCCACCGTCACGCTGGGTCGTCGGCGACTGCGACTCCAGTGTCTTCTTCGCACGGCGACCTGAATCGTAGGCCTGCGAGGGCTGCAGAAGCTTCGACAGACTGACAGGTCTTTCAGCTTTTTTGGTGTCCGCATGCTGTTGTCCTCCTTCCGCCTGCCGCTGTGACTTCTCTCCGCGAGGCTGACACGACTGGCCAGGCCTGTCGCCTGGCACTTAAAACTGAGCTCTGGAGATCTAGGCTCCAAGGCTCCGCAGCTCAAAAGAGGTCTTTCGACTTCTTCGCATTCTGCTGCTTCCACTTCGGCTGCTTCAGGAAGTCGGCCATGGCCATACCGAAGACCGCCTGGAAATCTTCTTCTGAGAGGTAGAGCTCCCGCTTCGCCGGATCTACATCCTCTGGGCGGCCACTGCTGACCCTCAACTCCTCGTGGGAGTACTTTTTCTGGGCCGGGTCTGCATAAGCCGCTGCCGCTTCATGGGCCTCTTTTCTTGTGAGGTTCCCAGTGTCGCCCGTGCGGTGGCCGATGTAGGACGTGTCGACCTTCCAAGTCCCTCCGTCCTTCCGCACGGTGGCCGAGGCCGAAGTCGCCGCAAGCGCCTCCGGCTCCCGCACGGAGCGCCTGCCCTCCAGGCGTCCCACCTCCTTCGTTCGGTGGCTGATGTAAGACATGTCGACCTGCAACATGCATATCAACAATCCTCCCCTAGCACACGGTAACAACCGCATGACGAAGAAATAACAGAAGTGAACTATGGCGACCTCTATGCGGATACCAAAGATACCAAGACTCAGCAGCTCAACAGAAAGTTTAAGGGACATGGAAGGTATCATGGAGTCTGCTAGACTAACGTGGTGCAAAGCTACAACAGCCGACCTTGAATTTGCCCTCCTCGTCGCGCTCGCTTCGGGCGACGGAGGCGACAGTAGCGACAGACTCGTCCAGGACAGAGCGGCGGCTCTCCAGGCGATTTGGGTCCTTCGTCCTGTGGTCAATGTACCCCGTGTCGACTTTCCACTTGCCATCCTCCATTTTCTTCACTGTCGCAGAGGGCGTCGACGACACTGTCTGCGCAACGCCAGCTTCAGCAGGCTCAATCGGTGTCACTGGCGCTGGAACCTCCGCTGCTTCTGACGATGGCTCTGGCACTGGAACCTCCGCTTCAACAGGCGCCGTTTCTGCTGGCTCTGCTTCAACAAACGGCTCCGCCGCCGGAACCTCTGCTTCAATAGGCGCTGCTTCTGACGATGGCTGTGGCACTGGAACCTCAGCTTCAACAGGGTCCGGTTCCATCGACGACGCAGCAGCCGAAACCTGTGAATCAGCAGGCGCGTCGTCTGGCGGCACAGTGTCGGCCATGGCTGTGTCAAGCACTGTTTATCTCTTCCGAGGCTTGCATGCGCCTGACTGCCATGGTGAAGCGCCGTGTCAGATTCAATCCACGTTGGAGACTCATTTTACGATGCTCACTGCCTCTCCGCATCTCGACTGGAGATCTTTCTGGGAAGTCTCTACACAGCATGCAAGCTAGTCATCCTCTACTGCAGGCTCTTTGCATAGCTGTCATGCAGCAGCAGGGCATGGTGCTTCAATGCGGAACCGATACAGAGCACGAAGCTCCACTTTATCTTATCCGAGGGCATCTCCACGGCCGGTGAGGGCTAAGCAGGCTCTATCCACTCTAGCCGCCCTCAGATGGACCCGGAGACATTTCGGCGGGAGCAGGTGGCCAAGGTGTCAAGCGCATAGCGTAGCCAGGAGGCAGCATTTTAGAGATCTCCGATCTGCTGTTTGCACTGGGGATGTTGGGCATCTCCACATCGTAGCTCTCGTCAACTAGTAGCTGGTCCGTTCCTGGCTCCAAGGCAACGAGACTTCTCCGCTCATCCGAGCCCAAAGCTGTTCGGTCCTTCTTAAATTGGATCTGGCGATTTTCTGCTGGAGGGCTGGAACACACTCTGAAACATCGTCTTCTGCACCTGCAGCGCAGTCAACACGGTCTAAGCACAGTTTCAAACAGCGGTCTCTCGCGAAGCCTCCTTGTGGGCTTTTAGGCCGCGCTGAACAGACTGGATCTCTGCTCGTATGGTTCTGTCCTCGCGAAAGTAAGTCTGCTTAGGCTTAGTTCTTCGTTCATCGATGCACTCGAATGCACCTTGTTCTGTCCCATGTTATTCAAATGACCATAATGGGGACTCTTGAGCATCACGGCGAAATTGGTGCAAAGCTTGGCTGCTCCTGCGGCTGTAGTTCCGCAGCCCTCTGCAGGTCTTGCAGGGCCGCCTGCGCTGGAGAATCTGTTCGCTGAGGTCTCGAATCTCGCAAGACTTCAGGCAGCGAAGGCCTCGAAGTCGCTCTGTCCTGACATTTTCCCGCGCCCCTCGCCGCCTCTCCCCAAAGCTGAGACTGAACAGCTGACACCGAGTAGAGTGCTTGAGGATCTTAGCTTGTGAATTCACTCCATATTGCTTGTAGCTCTCCTGCAGCAGCTTGGCCACGGCGGTAGAGAGCCTGGAAAGCAAGAGACCATGAGGTTGCTTTCTGTCGAGGGATTTGAGCCGTCTCTGCTGTGTGCCGCGCTTTGGCATTCTCGGGTTCGGCACCTCATCTGTCAGCAAGTCTGCGACGAGCCTACTCTGACATTGTACATTTTGTGTTTGTCGGGCTGCTTGACTTGAGCTACTACGGCGTGGCGGCTGGGATTTGACGGGCTTGTGAGGGATAAGCAAACCATAGTTGAACACCATTGCTTGCGAAGCATTCCTTCGTTCGTCTTTCCGACGAACTTGTGCCCGCTATCGAGCAGCAATTGTGCAGGTGTTCTGATGCTAATCAGCTAATGCGTCGTCGGAAGCATGAAACGTGGGACAGGTGGTGGTGAGGCAATCGGTCCAGCCAGAAGACTGAGGTGTCGGTTCACCAGAAGCGTCTACAGTCTCCCCACTCACAGGCTCATCTCACGGCACTTTGGGTCGTTTTTACCGAACGAGGCAGTAGGGCTTGGCCCATCGCCAGAAGAGGAGCAGCTAGCTGGATTGCTGGAAAGCTGAGGCATCCCATCGAAGCTTCACAGCATGGTCTTTGAATCCAGCACATCCGTCAGAAGTTGTATCGTCGAAGGATGAAGTTTCACCTGGGCTGCTGGAAGCAGCGCTTTGCTTAGCAGCTTAGCGACACCCTGGCAAAAGTAAGGCCCCGGCACCTATGTGATCTGCATCGACACTGTGAACCGAGCATTTGGACGTGGTCCACTGCGCCCATGCATCGAAGCTCTCGTGTGACCAGGGCGCTGCACTTGCTTGGCCGGAGTTGGTAATTCGGCAGTTGATCTCCCGGACACGCTCCGCTTCCTCGGTGAGAGAAGCCGTGCTATGCTTTCCGGTCTCCCTTTTGTCGGCCCGAGCTCCTCCGGCAGCGTCTTCTTTGCATCCATCGCGAAGTTCCGCATGGCCTTGATGACGTGCCTTATCGGCAAGAAGCTCATGAAGTAAATCACGTCTGAATGTCTCCGAGACATTGTCACACATGGCCTGCATGGAGTCAGCAGCCAAGGTGCAGCTCGCAGTTGAAGATGAAGTGGCCTTGCGAGTGCGGGGTCCCAACATCCCTGAAGCGAAGTCCAATGGCATCTCGCTTGCTGAGGCCTGCCTTCTGGCCAGAGGTGCTCTTGGCAGAGTCTAAGGTCCCTCTTCCACATCTCAATCATCCTCTGAGTATCTTTCGACTCATGGCGATTGGGCTTCAGCATTAGCCTGTACCTGCCATAACTTGGACAAGAAGCTTTCAGGGCCAGCTTGTTTGTTACAGAAATGTCACGCTGAGCAAACCTCTTTGCGTAAGCAGCCGAGGTACACTGTGGGATTGAACCCCTCGAAAAACTCCAGAGGCTCGTCCATGCACAGGAGGCGGTGGCCCTCCTCCAAGGACGAAGGGGAAGTCGCACTACCCCGTGCAGGTTGTTCGCTCCTCAGTGTAGATGGGGATATGCGGGGCTCCACGGTCGATGGGAAACATCGCCACGGGCTGCAGGCCCATCCGCTGCTTCAAGCGCAGAGCCACCTCCGTGCTCGTTTATTGCTGCGTTGGCTTTTTGTGACATTCGGGCATCTGCGAGCCCCGGGCCTCTATCATCACCTGGCACCCCATGGAGTGCGCAGCGAGAGCAAAGGGTGCTCCCTCGAAGCTTCCTCCCTGGCACCAGGTCGCTTTCAAAAGGTCCAAAGCTGGAAAGCATGCGGGGTTCCGCCGGGCCTTAGCATGAGCTGCCAGCACGGCCTCAAGTACTCGGAAAGCTTCCTGCACAGCCACGTGCGACTCGCTGCATGATCTCCAAGAACCAAGGACCTCGAAGTGTGACAGTGCAGGTGTCTCATGTCTCCTCTGCATCATCGACCAAAGTCTCTGCGAAGGGTTCCAGGGAGCGCTGGCCGTGTCCCGTGCGCTCGTAGATGGCGACATCAATCCAAGTGGGCACCTCACAAAAGGCTTGGCAAAAGGCCCAGGCCCGAGCCCGCTTTATGGCTTCGATGCGCAACGCAAGGCCGCAAGGCGGAGCTGCCTGGTTTACAAACTGCACCCAGCTGGCCACACTATCCCCAGCACCAGGGAAAACAAAGAGCCGCAGGCGTGTGTTGAACGTCTCTACGACCTCCAATCTCAGTGGCCTTGAACCGCATGACACGAGCTATGATAGCAGCATAACTATTACAAACACAAAACGGTAAAAACCAAGGCTGCCAACTCTAAGAGGTATACCTTCGCGATTTCCGTACCAACTCGGCTACTGGTGCCGCCAGTCGACTCAAGGTATTTTCGAAGATCTTGCCGCGATGGCAGGGACCGCTTTTTGGGATCCAATATGTTTCGCATTGGTGGCAGTGTCCTTGGCTGTGTTAAAGGCGCAGCGTGGCTTCTGAAAGGAACATCAAGGCATCCGAATTGAACGTCCAATCCCAGAAACCAAAAAACCCTCAAGCTTGAGTATAGGAAGTCCGAAGTGCCCTCCACGCCACTCGTCAGGGGACTCCACAGCCCCCAATGCCTGTAGCAGGGCCGTGCTGTAAAGATGCGAAATGACTGTGGACTTCGTAAGACTTTAAGGCTTTGAGGGACCGGGCGGATGAGACTTACTTCGCCTCACAGCTGGACACCAGAACGTACGGTCAAAATGTCAGTAGCGGGCTCAGATGGGACCCTCAACTACAAGTATCTGAAACTTGAGGTGGTTCTACAGCGTTTTCATCCATCCAGGTAAAGAATGTCGGACATTCAGGGACTCATTACATCAACAGATTCCAGGCGTCCATGTATGCTGTTATCGCATGGGGTGGGGACTGCAGAGGACAGGTGCTTCTCTGTCTGTGTGTGTGCCTCTGTGTGTGTGTGTGTATGTG